TTCTGTATTCCTACTAAAAGGATAATCGAAAAAGAATTGAAAGAGAAAAAATAGAAAAATGATGAAGGAAAAAGATACTCCCTCCGATTCATAATAAGTGTCGCAATTTTGAACTATCAAAAGTGTGACACTTATTTTGGATTGGAGGTGGTATTAAAAGAAGAATCCAAATAAAAAACGCAAGTGAAAAAATGCATCGTTCACATATTGGGCTCTGGCCGTGGAAGATCTTAGCCGAAGTTTCCTTAACTTCCCGCTATGAGTATGTATGAATTCAGGTTACGTTTTTTAGAAGTATCTTGCTATATTGAACGTTGCCTCTCCTTCCTGTTGCACATAAGGCAAAATTCCTTTCTCTATCGACAAACCGTTAGGCATGGGAGTAGAGAACAAGTGTCTCATTCCAAGAATTTGAATACAATGACGACCACGGCGATCCAATACCCGCCGCCGCCATCTCTTTCGATCGCTCGGGGTGATCGATGAGATCCAATGACCTCCACTTTTTTTTGCGAGGTAATATGTTTCTCATTCATAAAATAAAGATCCGGTTACAAGACACGTAATCACCGACATTATATCTGAAAGGATAGGTGATGAGTAGCAGCGAATGAAGTGGATAGTAATTAAACAGTATTCTTAAAACAGATTAATAGCCAAAAATACAAAAGCATCTTGAACAATTCAGAAATTTGAATAGTAGATGAAATGATCCTTGAAGATTCTCATGTGAGTTCCTCTTTTCTTGAAACCTCTTGTCAGCTTCTTTGTTGTGCACTTGTGAGGCATCGATCTTCCTAATTAACTAGATCATGATAGCGCGCGTTGCTGCGCGTGTTCGTTTCTGAAGAAGTTAGGATATCGTGTAAATATTTGGAAAAGATAAAGAAAACCAATTTACATAAGGTACACCTATATTAGACAATGATGCAAATATAATATGATAGTAAATAATGCTTGCTAAGGGGACAAACTTTGATGCACGTCCTGTTGTGACGTCGCCATGACAGGTCAAATGACACGTAACAAATAAGCTTCTCTAAAATACAATTACCCGCTGAAGCTTTAAAGGATCACCAACATAATTTCAGGAACTCTTTCACATACATGAGACAAGCATGCGGCAATTTTCAATTAAAAAGTACCATTTTCACTGTCTCATAGGCATATACAACAAGTAACAATTTTCACAGTGGATAACATTTTTCTTACGACATAACACATAAAATGGAATCTAAGAGTATGGAAATTTTAGTTTTTTTAGACATATAATAGTGAGCGACAACTTTCACAATGTTTGAGATTCCCTCTTTAGAACTCATATCGGCTAATATGATTACGGCGTGGCTTACATAAAGAGTGCAAGAGAGAACTGCGTACTTTTCTGGCCATCAAACTTTTCAGGGCTCAAAACCTCTCGGTGGTTTCTGAAATATCTGATGGTTCAATAACAAAATGGTCATCTAGACCTACATCCATACTAAATTGCACAAAGCAGCATGGTTAGTAGTGCAATGTCGGGGACTATTGCAAACCAGACACATAGTGTGGTTCAAAACTTGTATTTCTCACTTTTCGAGAATATACATCAAGAGGTAATTATTCACACAACGGGAGACTTTTTTTAAGAAAAAAAGGGAGACTTTCTACAGGTACATATATGAGATAGACATCCCAACCTCACTAACTGAGAGACACAAAAACGGATAAATTGACTACTCCCTCCGTTTAGGTGAGTAAGTCATCTTAAGTTGTGCATCATGACCAAGGAGGAGGGGAAAACGAGAGACCTTAATGTTTATTTGCTAATGAATATCATTGCATGTAATGAACTACACCACTGCATGTCGTGTTTGGTAGTCTCAAGTCATTAAAAGCATGCACACCCCTCGTCTCTTATTGGTTAATATGTGAAGAAATAAGAAACGAGGTAGAAATTAATGCACAGTGCCTAAGTGTTTTGGGATTATTAGGTTTTCATAAGATGACTTACACACCTAGACGGAGGGAGTATGCTCAACGGGGTGGATATAAAAGTGTTTCCTGGGACAATTTTTTTGGAGTTACTGTTTCTTGGGACAAATAAGTAAGAGCAATTATCTCACAAATAAATGTTCGGAGATTAAAGCATTAGCAGTGCTCGCGGCCACTGGGGACGAAAGCACGCACTCACCGACCGGCCCAGTAAGCATTCGTGGCCGGATCAATCACAGCTCGCCCAGCTAGCTCCACGGAGCAGCGGCCCAGAATAAATACCAGAACGTCAAAACAGAAAGCGATCGACTTTATTGCTAGCGATGGCAAAGCGCTGTAGATCCATCTAATAATTGGATGGCTAGCGATGGCAAAGTGTTGTGGTGGCTCCTAGCTAGCTCAGTTATACTGTTTAGTAATTAATTAAGCCATCAAAGTATGAGAAGAAAAGTTGGCTCAGCACATCAAGCATACCCGGTTTGGATTCAGCCCGTCAAAGCATATCAGGCAACGTCCACACGCCACCAACAAATTCTTTCTCAACCAGAATGGTAGGCAGAGCAAACAAATCCTTGGTATTTTCAAGTGTATGTTGTTCATGTGCGCACAAGCCCACAAATCTTGATCAAGCCATGCCAGAGGAGGAATACTTTAAATCGCCAGCATGCCAGGCAATTTGATTCCAGCTACCATGCATCCTCAGGATACTAAATCAGAAACTAAGCTAGTACATACCAACGATTGACCATTCACGAATAGGGCATTCAACAACATCATAAACAAACTTTATGAGCTAGTAGATTTGATGATAAACACATTCAGGATGCATGGAAGAATTAGCCTAGCTACAAAATCATACTATAACTAGCCTCATCCCCCCACACTGAGTCACTCTATCAACTTTGAACATAAACCTAACCAGATAAAGTTACAACAGGCATTAATCTAGCAAAGATGAGACTTGTCGCATTCAATAGTCGACGGCCCATCCAATCTACTCTTGAGGAGGTCCCCTTGTGGAGATGGTCCACGGCCTCCTCGGCCTCGGCCACGGCCCCTTCCTCCATCACCTTCTACACATGAGATTAATAAGATAACATTGCTTAGTGGTGATTAAAACCATATTTAGAGAGGAGTTAGGCAACTGGAAAAGAATTATTCAAAGGAATGCCAATTTATAATATCATCACTACTTTCTACCGAAGTCAAAGCATAGTATTAAAGATTTAATAAGTAACAAACATATTAACAATGCACCAAGAAGAGAATGAACCCATATTTAACTAATAGACAAATGCAGAGCACCTATAATACAAGTATATATTATGCTCCTCTAAAGATAGCTTAATTTTATGAGGCTCTCATATGGCCAGAGTTGTTCATCAGTAAATCTTTTGTGTGACTTCAATTGTCAAAATCGGTGAATTTGTTTCTTGTGCAGCTGTGGCAGCATCTTGAGACCTAGTACAACTGCAATTAACTAGGCAGGGCAAAGCAAAGCTAGCTTGCTCGGTCCTTTTCGATCGACTTTCAAGGTGAAAAAGCAAGCAGACAGGAAACACCACTTGCACAATAACATCCACAATAAGCTAGGTGCAACATAAGGAACATTCTTGTTTTCTTCATATTACACTACACGTGACAGGCCTCAACATGCCCTACCACTTAATGTCAGACAAAACGCACTGACTATATCTTTGACAGATTGGGCAGTAAGTTTATCATACCGTGCCCAAATTCGACGAGCATAAATACATCAGGTGTGGTGTACAGGTGGACGGTAACCATAGGGAGACATTGTCCACGACGTACTATTCCCAAGGCATCTACCAGTTCAAGAATCAGAGTCACTTTCTGTATCGGAATGCACGTCAAACGGTATTATTTCCGTTCGTGTTTGCCTCAAGTGGCGGCATATCATCATCCTCATCTCCATCCTCATCAGAGTTGTGCAATGTCGTTCCTTCTGACCCTGTCGCCCACCCATTGGGGCTTGACTTGAAGATAGCCGGCCTGGCATAACAAAGATGAGTTAATCAGGGGCACCCAATCGAGAGGAAGGACGACAAGCTAACAATCCTGATTTTATCAAGTAGATAGACTACTGATGCAGAGCTCATACGAAAGCATAAATAAAAAAGATGGAATTAACCAGCCCAGTCCCCAGTTAAGTTACAGGATCCATGAGTTGAGCAACAGTTTCAACAACATTCCTTCCACTTGTTGGCTTGTACCTCAACTGCGATTGGACAGGAAACACTTGCAGAAAGGAACAAGAAACAGGGGAAAAACAAGAAACTAGTAGTAGTAGTAGTAGCACTCAGCTGAATTGTTGGAAAACTCTTCTTGGTGGTCACAATTGTACCTACTATAACATGCAGAAATAACAAGCAGCATATGGAACAAAATCTTGTTTCTTCATATTACAGCACAGGTGACGACGACAAGCTTCGTCATGCCCTGCAGCCACTTGAAGATAGCCGGCCCATTGGGAGTCGACTTGAAGATAGCCGGCCTGGCATAACAAAGATCGAGTGAATCAGTAACAACCCTGGTTCCATCAAGTAAACTACCCGATGCAGGGCTCGTGCGAAAGCACAAACAACAAACTGGTACATTATTATTAGAAAGTCCTCCTAGCTAGGAAAACTTTTAGTTTCTTCAATCCTACTGTGGTATTTTTCCATGATTTATACTACATCAACATTTGATTATAGTATCAGTTCTCGGTGTCATTTTTCATGATCAAGCAAAACCTGAATCAAACCATTTAGGCTATTGAAATGCATTCGTAACGTGCATATCACATGGAATGTGAATTCAATCTAATGTTTAAGAAGGAAAAAAAACTGGGCTTTGAAACCTGCATATGCACAGTATACTATTGAAAGAAACAGCTGAATGAACTGACAGTCAACCACAAGCATATGAACCACGCCATGTATATGCACATACTCCCTGCTCGGTCCCATATTAGAGGAGGCAGTATAGTATGCACGTGCACGTACCATGTATATGCACATACTTCCTACTTCCAGATTCGAGAGCCTCGTCCCTCCCACTAGCATCCACAACCACGAAATTCCCTGCACATTCACTCATTCATTCACAGTTCTTGATCAGAGCTACTGTAGTTTTTTTAGCGTGGCCAAGTATAAAAGCCAAGCCATTTGGTACTAAATAAATTACTGACCGTTCTTGATCCAGAAGCTCGTCTGGAACTTGGCGGGGAAGAGGGCGAGAGACTTGACGCCCTCGCCGTCCGTCACCTAGCACCAGCACGGCGGCAGCAGGAAGGAGTGAGGAAGAAGCAAGAAGCAATTTTGAAGAAAAGAGAGGGAAGGAAGGAAGAAGGTAAGAAGGTACCTCGATGAGGTTGGAGCCGCGCAGCGTGACGACCTGCATGATGCTCTCGCCCTCCGCCAGCATCACCGTTGTGCCCTCCTCGCACGCGCACCGCAGGTTCTTCCTACCGCCTTTCATCCGACGGCGCCGCAGCCCACCGACAGAGGGAAGGTTCTGGTGCTGGACTCAACAGGTGTAGCGGCGGCGGCGGCGAGGCCGAGCAAGGTCTTCTCTTGTTGCGGCGGCGGTCCGCTGCTCGGGTGGGGGAACTAGCTTTTTTTTAGAATCAGGTGGGAGAACTAGCTATAGGTAGGACTGCAGCACATAACACGCCCAGCCCACTATGTATGTGGGAGTGGGCCTTCCAACCATGGGCCTTCAGCAAATCAATGGCCCCTCTAAACATTATAACACTACTTCGGTTTTTAGGTTCACCGGGGCAAAACAAAAACAAAACAAATGCTACCACGTGACATATGTGGTAAGAAATCTAAATAATTCAAAAAATGCTAATTTCGTCAATTTAAATAATAATGGAAACTAGATTTCGTGACACCAACAGAAAAAAAAAACCCGGGAATTGGGTTAATTTTATTTCATACTCGGTCTCTATGCCCGCCCCTTGGCGTAGAATGAGCTTAAGGTCCTTTTTAAAATGTTTACATGTTCTACAAATAATAATTTTAATTCATACAATTTAATATTCTTAAGGTCCTTTCCGAAATGTTTACGGTGTAACAAAATCCAGCTCAAAACAGCGCATGTCCATGGTGTAACCGACAAAATTGGGATAGAATGGTGGAGCTAGACGGGCGGGCCCACTAAATTCATGAATCCATGCAGAGACAATAGAGCAATTAAATTTGAGGCAGAGCTATGTGTTAAGACCATTGAACAAATTTATGAAAAATGAGGGCTTAGCCATTTGACGGCCACAAGCACTACATTACACAACATGGACACACTATAATACACAAATCTCATAACTCCTCGTGAGTGGCAACAGAACGAGTGGCTCAGAGTAGCTGGTGTAACATAATAAAGAGTGTGCACAACATAGTCATAGTGCCGACGTAAGCTGCAAACGAGTGGCTCGGAGTAGCTGGTGTAACATAATAAAGAGTGTGCACAACATAGTCACAGTGCCAACGTAAGCTGCAAAACAGGTGAATGTCAACGGGAGGGGAGAGAAACTTCGCTGGGCATTGTGGTTCTTGTGGGTATGGACTGCAAGCCAGCCGAAAAGGGCGACGGAGCATTCTTGGTTCATGAGCAAAAGTGCCTCGCGCCCTGCAGCTTGCACGTGAGATCCATGAACGCAATGTGGAGTCACTGTCCCATCATGGTGATTGCACGGGCGGAGAATAATTAAGGTGACCACCAAGCTCGTCAACCATGGTGATCCCAAGTTTTTCTTCTTGTTTGCTCTACATCTTTGTTTAGTTTGTTGATTCGCTGAATGCTACAACTTGATGATCATGTTACCATATAGCCCGGGTGTGCTGCCACGCCGTACAAAACAAAAGAGGGCACGACATCATGTTGATGCATTGTTGGATGGAACTCAGGGGGCAAAGTGTGTGGATGAACAACACTTGGCGCCCAGAACTTTTTGAACATCCGGTTCTTTCTTCAGATGTAATATTTATATTTGAACTATTGTTGTACTAGAATATTTGCATGCCATTTGCGGATTAATTTTCTATTTTATATAATTATTTACATGCCATTTATGGATTAATTATGCTATTTTATAAAATTATTTGCATGCCATTTATGGATTAATGTTGCTATTTTATATAATTATTTGCATGCCATTTATTCTATTTTATGTAATTAATTGCACACTATTTATGAATCATTTGTTCTATTTTATTTAAATATTTGCACGGTACTGATGAATTAATTGTTCTATTTTATTTGTTCTATTTTATTTAAATATTTGCACGGTACTGATGAATTAATTGTTCTATTTTATTTGTTCTATTTTATTTAAATATTTACATGTTATTTACGAAAGAATTATACTATCTATACTACATGTTATTATTATTATTTTGAGATTTATCTATACTGCATGTTATGGGTGCAACTTGAGTCATCCTTTGTAAACTTGGGCTAAACGGGCTTGTAGCACTACTAGAAATACCACTACTAATGGCGCACCTAATATGGCCATTAATGGCGCATCACTGGTGCGCCATTGATAGCACGCCATTAGTAATTTTTACTAATGGCGCACCACCTGGTGCGCCATTAGTATCTGGTATACTAATGGCGCACCACCTGGTGCGCCATTAGTATATGCGAGGGTGCGCCATTAGTATGCCTCCCAGGGGGCATGTATACCCAGGTGCTTTGGCATACTAATGGCGCACCATCTCTGGATGCGCCATTAGTAACTGCAGCATACTAATGGCGCACTACCCGGTGATGCGCCATTAGTATGCACTGTCATACTAATGGCGCACTGTCATGTGATGCGCCATTAGTATGAATATTAGGTTTTTTTTAATTTTTTTATTTTCTGTTTTTTGCACAGGTTACAAAATGTATAATTTGACAAAATATAGACAGCACACATCAACAATAGATTCATCAAATACAATAGAAGATTAGTCTTTGAATACAATTCATCATATTAGTCTTCGAATACAATTCATCATATTAGTCTCCGAATTAAAAAGACCGAACAAAGATAGAACATTATATTACAAGTCTCGAGACCGCGAGTAGCGAGTTTGTCTTCGCATTACAAGTCGATATCGATCATCTAAACTACCATCACATAGAAGAGAGCTGCGGTCATCACGATGAGCATCATCACGATGAAACTCGTCTTCATCCGGTTCCTCCAACGCTCCCTCCCCTCTCCCGCTAGATAGCGGGCGTATCTAGATTCGGCCTCGGCCCTAGTGGTGTACCCTTTGTAACTGTTACCGCTGAATCGGTGAACCTGTCTCCGACACTCCTCCCAGTCATCGTAGACTCCGGGAACCTTACCCTTGTACACGACATACGTCGGCATCGCTATGCACTAGCCAAACGAAACGTTAGTACCAATTCACAGACAATACATAAGCAATATATAATTATGCAACAGAACGATCGGAAGAGAAAAGCAAGACATTAATAGCATCGATTACATCTAAGTTGAACGACTCTCGAAACCAAAGAGACATACTACAAGTTCATTAAAGTTTAATTACAACATGAGCCAATCGATGTTTCAGAACTAGACAACTCGACTCAAGGGACCGGAGCGTGGATGAAGCCGCCGTCTATCGTGGGAGTCATGAAAGAACGGGCGTTGTCATCCTGCATTTGTAGCATTGTGTCGATGTCACTGTTGGACGGTTGATTTCTGAGGTAGAACTGCCCCGAGGTACGAAGGACATCTTGATGGATGATTTCCGCAAACTCCGACTGGATGCAAAAGAATTCTTGTCGGAGGTCCGCGTCCTGGATTGCCGACACGCTCGCGGCCCAATCTTGGAGTTTACTCGGTAGCAGAAGTTGATGATGGTCCCGTACGATCGCCCGCATGTGATGGATGGCGTAGTAGGCACCCTTCTGACCGCCAGGCGGCTGCTTGACGCAGCAGAACGTCGTATTGTGGGAGAACACGTGCTTGCCGTACTTACGAATAGGCCTGGTGAAGGTGCCTCCAGATTGGGCGTAGCCGGGGAGAACATCATCAAGAACCTTCTTGACATTTGTGTAGTCTACGTTCGACTGACGGTCCGGGTCGAAATACGTGGCCATGGAATATTTGGGGCTTAGGAGGATGAGCGTGCAACGTGTGTCACTGCAGAAAACACGGAATGTTAAAAGAAAAACGATCGAAAAGTAAGAATTCATATGTTACGGGCCGGTTGAGGGGAGGACTTACTCGGGAAAGTAAGGCACGAGGAAGTTATCCTTATCTTGGTTTGCCAGAATGACGCCTTCGAGGTAAGAACTCGCGACTTGCCGGTCCCCAGCGCTGCCCAAGATCTTGGCACGCATGTAGAAGGGGTCGACTATCACGATGTCCGAGGTCTTGTCGCGAATGATCCGCATCTCCATACTCAGCGAAAATAGCCGAACGAAGGTGTAGTGCAGCGGATGAAGGTTAAACATAGCAAAGATGTCATCAAACCGCAGGACGATCGTACCCCCGATGTCGCCATCCACAAAGCCCTTGCCCTCTGGCACCTTGGCCACGAAAACCGGGTATGCCACATCCTTCTCTCTGAGACGCCGCTTCTCCAAAGAAAGAACACTGTCGTGCAGACTCCGCATAGCACCGGTTGCAGCATTGAGCATATTTGGTGGTAGCATCGCCCTACCCGCCACATGCACCCTCCTCGAGATATCCTGCGGTGAAGGTGGCCCGTCCTAAGCACGGATCGTACTCGGTGCCGGCTGGCTCGCACCCTTCTTAGTCTTTCTTTTGCGTGCCTTCTTCTTCTCCTGTAATGGGACCGAGTTCTGCTCACAGACCGCCTTCTTGAGTGTGTTGGGGCTGATAATATTTCGCACCTCGCCTATCTGAGGCTCGGTGAAGTCGGCAGCTGGAGGCGTCTCCTGAGAGCTGAACGCCAGACGGCGCCTGTTGCAACTTGGCTTCTCCGCGGTACGAGCTAGATCGCACACGTCTTTTGTTGGGTTTGGTTCTTGAGAAGGAGGCCCCATGAAGTCGCCATCGTACCCATGCTCGG